ACGTTGGAGTCCCTGCAAAAGGCGGTGTAATGGCCGCCATTCACATCGCCGTAATGGTTGACCACAGCGTAGAGATCGTATGATGAGAAGGAAGGGTCGCTCAGACAGTAAGGGCTCAGATCCAAGTTATAGAGAGGGAAGTCCACGAATCCGGTAATCTTTTCGGGGCACGAGTTTACGTCAAAACAGAATCGCTTCAATTGAATGATCACAATGTGTGGTAATCTCCAGAAGTGAATCTGTTTGCGGGCCTCGCGATTGGTCTTACATTTGGGACAATACCTGTGCGTTCACAACACCATTAGTTTGTGGGTTATGTTTACGGTATTTACTATCAATTCATACCATGAGTTTGGATGAGAAAGATATTCCGGTGCTGTATATAAGCGAAGACAGTCTGTCAGATGAATGTCAGTGTGTTTTATAGGGATTGGAAGCGATAGGTACACGAATGGATCAAATTTGAGAGATATCTGTGAACACAAATTCATACATAATTAGCATTCAATTCATAGAAATTTTAAGTTATATACAAATCTAATAAATTATCGGTTAAAAAGTGAAACAAAAAACTAAATACTTTCGGACAGACAGTGCAGTGGATGGACGACACGTACTGTCCATAGAAGAGGTCTGTGATAATTGAGTCATTATTCCTCTGGAACTCATTCCACGACTGTATGGCCAGAGTGTTGGCGTCCAATCGGTTGTCGTTCTCATCGGTGGTGCGAGTGATGGCTCTCTTAACCCTCACGCGGTTGAGGTCGGAGTGAATGGCGTCGACCAATAGGGCTAAGAACTCGTGCGCGTCGTTCTGACCCCAAGACAGGGCTGACCACTCTAGCGTGTCACTGAAGTCAACGCAGCCTGCGTGTCTGGAGCGTCAGGAGAAGCCCAGAAGGCAACAGGTGTTGACAGCCTAGTCAGCACTCTTCCGCATACGTTAGTATGGTAGTCTTCACCAATTGTCTTCCTCGCATTTGTCGGCTGTCCGTCAGATATGACAACAAATGAGTCATTCATTCAAACAATCAATCAATGGATGGACTCACAGAAGAAGTATTGTCTCAAGAGATCCGTGTTTGAGAGGCACTGGACCACTGCGTTCAGGTAACAGGTGTTCCCCAAGTTGTCTAATCCGATACGACTGTCCTTCCCGTCAATGTCTGTCCACTTGTTGTCCATTGAATTCAATGATTCTCTGAATATAGTGTTGAAGTCGTCGAAGAAATTCATGTTAACTGACAATCAATTCATCCAAATATTCATTAAATACCACAAAAACAATACAATGACGTAATGTAGTGGTATTAGTGACCATTCAAATACAACGCTACGATTAAAGCATACATTTATAGTCCTGTTTTGCAAACAAATTACATGCATTCAAAACTACAACTCTCCAGACGTTTCCAGACATTCAAACCCATCGACAGAATATACGTTATTAATGAACACAAAACATATGAATTGCTCGCAAATGAGTGAAATGAAGCGAAGGTCACGATTGGCTGACTGTGGGCTGAATGGGCTCTCATTGGCTTCATATGTGATGTGCGATGAGTTCACTATTGCAGTGAAGGGAGGGGTGAGTGTTAGGCATAGACTGGAAACACATGTAAACGTATGTAATGTTTATGACTTACTGTTGGAGTGAACGCCACCTCTAATGACAACACGATTTAAACCATTGAATGAGACATTGGTTTGACATTTGATCCCTTCGTAGACATCCATTGCACGAGTGATGACCGACGCAAACATTTGTGGCATAAATCGTGTCCACAATTACTATCTGTGGGCCGTTTCGGCCGTCTATTTGTTCGCCTTCTCATCCATTTATCTCCAAATACCGGGTAATCATTGACTGACACAACACGTGATGACCACCTCTTGTAATGACACGACATGTCTGGTAACAGGTCTTTATGGTGATGATGGCGTACTGCCGGTGCGAGCCTTTGCACAGTTGGATAAGAGGGGGTCGACAGCACTGGTGGACGCCTTCAGACAAGTGCCGTCTCTCGTATGGTTGGGCCCAACCATTGGCCTGTCGTTGACCTCAGCTCTGGAGGTGATAGCGTTGATGGGAATCGTTGTCTCATTCCTCCAGTTGGTGCTCAAGTCGTTCCGTGACTTTTGGTGGTATTCCCTGTCGCTTGTGCTCTACTTCTCTATATATCAGGTGTGGTATTGAATCCGTGAAAGGGTTGTACTAATGATGGTATGTGTGATGGACAGGTGGGCCAGACGTTCATGTGGTTCCAATGGGACACTCTCTTACTGGAGGTCGGCCTACTCACTGCCCTCACAGCCCCGTTAAAGCTACCATTCCTGGTGGAGTCGGGTCCACACACTGGACTCACCTTTTGGTTGGTCCGGTGGCTACTGTTCCGCCTGATGTTCGCGTCGGGTGTGGTTAAGCTGACCAGTGGTTGTCCCACGTGGTGGGGGCTCACGGCTCTGGACATACACTTTGAGTCTCAATGCATTCCCACTCCTATCGCGTGGTTTGTCCACCACTTCCCCTCCCCTTTACTCAAGTTATCAGTTGTCATGACTTATGTCATCGAAATAGTGGTTCCCTTTTTGTTCTTCATCCCAATCAAGAATCTAAGAATTTTTGCGTTTGTAATGCAAGTGAGTTATCCATTGATATGCCATTTAATGGTGAAACTAATGGTTTTGTTTGAAATATTAGGTCATCTTTCAGTTGGCAATCATTTTGACCGGAAATTACAATTTCTTCAATATCTTGACTACTGTTCTCTGCCTTTCAATACTAAACGACTCGCACCTCAAGAGTCACTCATCGAGTACTGCGTCCAACACTGAACTAAAGCCCAAGTTTTTAATGCCTAAACTGATGACAAAAGTGATCACTTATTTCATATACTTCTCACTAATCTATTGGACCATTCATTTGTTTAACATTAACTGGAACGCCGGCACCCTATCTATAAGCGTAAACTTCAATAACAATGAATTGAATGAATTTATCCTTTGGGCGCTTCCCATCTCCATATCGTTGGCCACACTCTCTCTGGTCTCCAATATATTGAAAGCGTTTTCGAGGTCTGTATCGAAAGGCTGCTATTGTTTTGTTGCAATAGTTTTGCTTATTTTTAAAACTAAAACAATGACAACACATGTCTCGCCAACAGATGCCTTATTTTGCCGACAAATGGTTTCACTCGAATAGTGAACCTATTCTACACCACACTATACGTGAGTGCAGTGGTGTTCATGTTCTGCATATCACTGGTGCCGCACGTGAGCGTAGACCCCACCCACTCAGTCAAGTTATGGCCGGTCATCCATCGGTGGCATAAATCGGTCGATAAGTTCCCGGTTGTCAACAGTTATGGTCTCTTCAGACGCATGACTGGAGTGAATGGCAGACCAGAGCTGGTTATTGAAGGCAGTGATGACATGTCTTCAGTTAGCGGTTGGAAAGCCTATCATTTTCTCTATAAACCGGGAGATATCACAAAAGCGCCCAAATTTATCAGTAAAACTATCTATAATTTACTGTTAAATAAATGTTAAATGACTATATTTTGTAACTCCAGTTCCACATCAACCACGACTAGACTGGCAGATGTGGTTCGCGGCTCTGGATAACTATCAGAACAATCCATGGCTTATGAATCTCTGTTACCGTTTGCTGACCGCACAGCCAGAAGTGTTGGATCTGTTAGACAAGAGTCAACTGCCTTTCAAAAAGGCGCCCAAATTTATAAGGATCCGGTCGTATACCTACCGCTACACAGGTATTCATATTCTTGACAATTGTTTGTAGTTTTGGTTTTGAATATAATGTTTGTCTTAAAGGCAAGAATGCGAAGAACTGGTGGCGAAGGGCTGATGAGAAGGAATACGTGCCGCCCGTCAGTAAAGAATCGTTGGATAAGTTTATTAAAGCCAATGGCATAGAGACTGTACGCACGATAGACCTGACAGACAAACACCCGTTTGTCACCAAAACGTTGGCATTTGTGCGCAAACTGTGCACTCAATTGAACTCAAC